TGCTGGGAGTTGGGTAAGTTAAAAGGACCAGCTGGCTAACCTCCTCCCCTACAAGACAGAAGGAGGCTGCAGGTTCCAGGCTAGAGAGCCGCTGATTCCCACAGGACTCACTTCTCTGTGTGTGTTTGCACACTCCTGTCTGCTCTTAAACTCCTGAAGTTGACTAGACTTACATACACTTGTCTCATATTTCCTTCCAGCCTGCCTTCCTTTTCTTTCTTTCTCTCTTGTTTGTTTTCAAGACAATTTCTCGTCAGCTGGAGTGCAGTGGCATCATCATAGCTCACTGCAACCTTGAACCGCTGACCTCAAACCAATCCTCATGCCTTGACCCCGCCAAAGCGCTAGGATGACAGGCATAAGCTACTGCATCCAGTCAACTTTCTCATATTTTCTTATGAGGATTCATGTCTCCCAAACCAAATCTGTGTATTCTAAAAGAAATGTGCCATAAAATAAATAAAACAATTGCCATTTCCTGGATAGTTCATTAGTATATTGACCTTACGTTTGAGCTAAAATTACCTATCATCCAACACTGACTGAGCCACCATAGTCGCATTGATTTCCTCTATGACCTTCACTGAGGCTGCAATCGGCATTCTGCAGGCTTTTTTCAAGAAGACCAGTTCTTGGTATAGCCAAGCAATTATACTTACTGAGTGGAAGTCCACAAACATTTAGGGAGCACTACTCTGTGAAGGCCATGCTCTAAATAATTAGGCAGCCCAGAGGAGCAGAAGCATCCTTGATCCATGGAACTGGCCTGTGGCCTCAAGGCCCTGCCAGCCAGGGCAGGGCTGTGACAAGGTGGAGGCTAGGTGCTCTGGCTAACAGGAAACAGGGGAGGCATTCTGGTGAAGGAGAAGGCTGCACTCCCTAGGTGGAGAAGGGGAGCTGGGCTCCTGGGATGAGGGGAAGGGGTAGGGAGGAGTGCTCCAGGAAGGCAGTGAGGTTTGGTGAAAGCGCTGTCTGTGGGTGGGAGGCAGGAGAGGAAGCCAGCAGGGGACCAGCAGTCCCACCCTCCTGAGCCTGCATCTTGGCTTTTTACCCAGGTCCCTAACTCGTACTTGCATGTTAATATTACAGAAGCAGCACAGGATCCACGGGCTAAGTGGAAATTCCCCACCCGCCTCCCTTCTGCTCTGTAAGATAAGATTTCTGTCACCAACATGCAGAAGCAACTTTTAGTACCATGTTGTGTTTCTAAAGGTAATGGGACACATAAGTATAGGGGGACGTGAAGAGCACTGAATCAAAACTTGAGAGGAATCGTGTAAAGCAGCACTCCACCCATGGGATTCAGACAATGAATCTCAGGACTTCAAAGTCTAGAACAAATACCATACACTGAAGTAAGTCAGAGGAGGAAAGAGTAACTCCTGCCTGCAGGTGTCATCTGATGCTGCCCTACTTGGAAACTGGCAGGTCAGTCTGTTACTGCTCCACAACGCTGGCAGAATACAAGGAATGTGAGTATAATGCTTGCGTTGGACCTGAGCCCCCTCATCCCACAGGGCATGGGAGCCCAGAAGGGTGCTGCATCACACAGTGGGCTGCATCACAGAAGTGGTGCCCTGACTTCGGGGACCATTCCAGAGGGAGGCATCACCTCCTGAGAGGTTTCCTGCTACAAACACAACTCTGAAAATGGCCTAGTGGTCAGGCCTTGCATTCTTAGAATATCTAGAATATGAGGTCTGACAAGGAAGCTTGGGAACTAGCCACAGTGCGCTTACATCGGCAGCACTGTACAAAAAGCTTGGTCAGGTTTCATCACCTTGGTATAACAGTGTTTCACAGCTATTTGTGTCAATGTGTGGCAGCATCTTGCTGAGTGGCGTTCGTGATCGTTTCATGTTTTTATGTGCCGTCTCAAGAATGTCAGAGCTTCAGTTAGAGCAATGAACAAACATTAAATTTTTTGTTATACTGGGCAAGAGTGGAAGTGAAATAAGGGACATGTTAGTACAAGTTTATGGGGACAATTTCATAAAGAAAACAGCAGATAGAGTAAACATTTTTCTGAGTGGAGAGAAGGCATCACTGATGAAAAGAGGTCAGGGCAGCCAGTAACCAAAACAGATGAAAACGTTGCAAAAATTCATCAAATTTTGCATCAAAATCATCAGCTGAATCATCAGCTGACTGTGAAGAGCAATAGCACACCAAGTAATTATTGATAGTGAAACAAGAACATCTTTTTTTTTTTTTTTTTGAGATAGAGTCTCACTCTGTTGCCCAGGCTAGAGTGCAGGTGGCATCATAACTCACAGCAACCTCAAACTCCTGGGCTCAAGCCATTTTCTTGCCTTAGCCTCCTGAGTAGCTAGGACTACAAGCACTTGCCATAATGCCTGGCTACTTTTTCTTTTCTTTCTTTCTTTTTTTTTTTAGTAGAGATGGGGTCTAGCTCTTGCTCATGCTGATCTTAAACTCCTGAGCTCAAGCAATTCACCTGCATTGGCCTCCTGGAGTGCTAGGATTAGAGGCATAAGCCCCTCTTCCTGACCAGAGAAAACAGGAAAATCTTGGCCAGCAACTCATGGCTCCTATAACACAACAATGCACCAGCTTTACATGACACTGTGAGGGAATTTTTAGCTAGTAAACAAATAACTGTATTGGAATATAACCCCTACTTATCTGATCAGGGCCCCCAGTGACTTTTTTCTCTACCTGAAGATAAAGGAAATATTGAAAGGAAGACATTTTGATGTCATTCAAGACATCAAGGTAACAGGATGACAGCGCTGACAGCCATTCCAGAACAAGTTCCAAAATTGCTCTGAAGGGTGGACTAGGTGCTGGAGTCCATGTATAGCTTCCCAAGGGGAGTATTTCAAAGCCGACCATAAGTAATGAGGTTTTGACATTCAGTAGCAATTTTTCTAGAAAGAGTTCATGAGCTTAAATTATCAGACTGCATATAAGTTTCCTGTGGTTGCCATAACAAATTACTATAAATTGCATGGTTCAGAACAACAGACATTTATTCTCTCACAGCTCTGAAGTCCAGAAGTCTGAAATCGTGGGGTTGGCAAGGTTGGTTCTTTCTGCTGGCTGAGAAGCTGCCCTGTGGCACCCTTAGGCTTTTCCTCAGTGTCTGGGCACACTGCTCCTCTGCCTCCATTTCCGATGGCCTTCTCCCGTCTCTCAGTGACCCCCTCCATTCTCTTATAAGGACTTCACTGGATTTAGGGCCCATCCTAATACAGATCATCTCATTTTGATGTGCTTAACTTAATTATAGTTACAAGGACCCAAATAAGGTCACTTTCACAGGTCCCAGGAGGTAGGACTCAGACATAAGTTTTGGGGACCACCATTTGACCCTCTGCCCCCCGCAAACACATGTAGGAGAGTGAGGCAGCCAGGGAGAACCATCTTTCCCAACATTGTGAAGAGGGTTTTTACATCAGCCTGAGGCCATGATCAACGTGTGCAAAGACATGGGCGTGGAAAGGTGAAGGGGACATTACAGATAAGGAATCATATTTTACAAGAAATCAGGAAGCCTGGGAGTAAGTGATGTGGGATAAATCAGATGCATACCTGCTAAGCGCCAGTGCTGCTCCTGGGGCTGGGAATACAGTTGTGAATACAACAAAAACACCTGCCCTCATGAAGCTATATTCTGGTCAGGACAGACAGGCAGCAAACACTAAGAGGAAACTTTTCTAATTATTAGGAGCAGAATCTGGGAGAAATTTCTCCCAGGGCAAATGCCTGAAGGTTTGGGTCAGAGCAGCTGGAGAGAAGGAGCGGACATTAACTTCTTTCCTATCCCAGGAGTGTTAGTGGGAAAGAACACCAGGACTTCAGTTTTGCAAATGTGAAGCTTGAGAGGTTCAAGTTCAATGCTGAGATCTGGAGTTCTGTGATCTATGGTTGAGTTAGAGGGAAAGAATTTAGAGTTTTCACTGTTTAGAAGGAATTCAAAGCCTTGCAGCTGGTGTGTGTTGGGATAGAGAAAAGAGGGCTGAGGGCCAAGCACTCTGAGTGGTAGAGAACAAACAGCAAGAGACAAGAAAGAGTGGCTGGGGAGGTGAGGGAGGAGATAAGCCTGGGGCCCAAGGAGGGTCAGACATTGGTGGATGAAGGCACCAGAGGCTGGGGATCAGCAACACAGAGGCCAGTGCTGAACTCACCAGGAGCAGGCTTGGGAGGTGGGAGCAGGGGAGTGGGAGACAAAAGAGGAAAAAGAAAGAGAAATGAGGCAGCCCTTGGAGCTGGTGTGGGCCCAGTTGCAGACTCCACTACAAGGTCTTGAGTGCAAGATGCTTATTTCAGAGTACCAGGCAGTGAGTTAGGGAAGGGAGGCACCAGCTCCCACAATGCCCAGTCCTCCTGGGAAAACTCTGGAACCCATTAGAATACATGCCTCAGCTATCCCACTGATAACAGGTATTTATGCATCACCCATCGTTCACTGGCTGAAGGCTGCTGAGGGGATGGAAAGCCAGTTTGTTTCAAGGCACTTGTGAACCACCAAAGATGCAGCCCTCACCCAGAGTTGTCTGGCTGGCTGGGAGACTGGATGGAAAGTCAGTTGGTCGGCCCACTAGGGTGTGGGTGTCTGCACAGCTGGGGATCTGTTTCTGTATGTCTGGGAGTCTAACTAGGGGTCCATCTGGTGTTATTTGGTGTCTCTGTACTGATCTCTCAGGCTGGGACCCGTTTTTCAGGCTGGTGGTCTATCTCTCTGGTGGGGGTAGGGGAATCTCCCATCCCACAGACTTCCCTTCTGAAAGATTGGCTATGTTTGTCCATCCAGCTGGCTATCTGGGGACCTTTTTGTCTCTCTGGGGTCAGTCTGCCTGGCTTGGATCTGTGTGAATGGGTAGGAGTCCAGCCATCTCCCTAGCAGGTCTTCTGAGTAAGTGAGACTCACATACCGATCTGTCACGTAGTGAGGGGAGTCTCTGGAAGCCCTTCTGTCCCTTCCCCGCTTTACGACTCAGGGGCCATGCCCCTTCCTGATGCCTCACCAGCCTCAATGCTGTAATCATTAGGGCAAAGCCCCCACGTTTTATTTTGATCCAGGCCCAGTGTCCCCATCCCCAAGGTGAGGCAGAGCAGAGCACGGCTGTCAGCAGAAGTCCGGGGCTCTTGTGGAGAGAGGGCAGGAGGTGGCGCAGCGCTCACACCCGGGTCCACTCCGCAGGGGGGTCCCGGGGCCCCTTCGGCTTCCCAATGCGCAGGTTGAAGCCTGGACAGGAAGGGCGCTATCGGTCTCATGCAGAGCTGAGGTGGTAAGAGCTAAGCAAGAGGGGAAGGCCATCCCCACACCTCCAGGTCTTCCTGATTTAGTGCTGCGGCAGGGCTCCAAGAGTATGAGCTCCAAGCTCCCAACCCTAAATCCCAAATTCCTGCGGAGAATCTCAGCGACCCAGGCTGTGACTTACCAAGCCCATTGGTCTGAGCTCCATTCGTCACGTCCTCGTAGGCGCCAGACGCGGCGGGGCTTTGGTCAGCAGAGACTGCGGGCAGGAGACCCCCCCCTCACGCATCAGCCCAAGGAACCCCGCAGAGTCCCAAGACCCCACACAGGAAGCTTCCTCTCCAGGCAGTGGCAAGCAGAGGGCGGCGCCCAGCGGGAGAGGGCGTGTGGGAGGGCCTTGGGGCCAGGACTAACCAGCTGCCTGGCCCAGCCGAAGGCTTAGCCGACACCTGACCTCCGGGCAAACCTCTCCGCGGCCGACTCCGCGGCGTGACCAATGACTGGCAGTAGTCCAGAGGGCGTGACCAGGAAAGCCCGGACACCAGCCTCGGGGGCGGGGCCAAGTCGGGCTGAGCGCTGGGGTCCTCGTGGCTTCTCGGAAAGGAGCAAGGGGACGGTTCTGACCCGCCCCAGCCCCGCGCCGGCACCATCCTCGACTCACCGCATCCAGGCAGCGTCCCTCGCGCGTCCTCGGTGTGCGCCCCGGGCCGCTGGGCGCGCGGCGTCACCTGGCTGTAAATTGGCACCTCCTCCGCGCTGCGCGCCAGTGCCCCAGGCCCGGCACCCGCTGGGGCCCCGCGCTTCTGCACCACCGCGTACGTGTCGGTCATGGTGAGGGCCGGGGCCCCGGGCACCGAGATGCTCCTGCGGGCGGGCAGGGTGCGGAGGAAGTGAAACGGCCGCGCGGGGCGGGGGCGGGGGCGGGGGAGAGTGCAAACCGCGGCTTCCTTCCCGCCCGGGCGGCGCCGTGGGGGGCGGGGGCGGCCCGGAGGGCGGAGGGGGAGGTCTCTGGTAAGCCGGAGAAGGGGCGATGGGACCAGCCCGACAGGTGGATGGGCGGGGTATTGGTATTGAGGGTTGGTCCTTTCTACATAAATGTTCTATTCATTGAATACAATTGAGGAAGTGGCATCGAAGGGGAGGAAGGGCTGGCCTCAAAGGACGCCTCTGAGCCGGCGCCACCCTGGACGACGCCTGACAGGTGGGCGGTATCAAGAAATATTTGCTGAATTAATGACTGGAGGACCCAGGGAAAGAACACTAGAACACAGTGCCAGTCCTAGAGGCAGAGGCCACGGTGTCCCTGTGTAAGAGCGGCATCTTGGGGAGGATTCCCAGAGCTCAATTCAAAGAAAGGGCCAACGAACATTTGGTGAACTGAACTATAAGGAAGGGGGTGGCTAGTGTTTCAAGAGTGAGGAGACAGCCTCTGAGCCTGACTAGTTGGACAGGGAAGGATGCAGGTACCTGAGGACCTCGCCTGGTGGGCGAGGTATGGCAAGAAGCCCCTGGTAAGTCCGGAGGGAGAGGGCGTCGTCGTAGAGTGGGACGAAGTTCTGGAGAAAGCAGAAGTGGAGGGCCATGGGGCTTCGGAGGAAACTAGCCTGACCTCTGATGGGGCTCTGGGGGTGACCTCGAGAGGCAGGCGGTGGTGGACGTGTAAGGAATCAGCGCCTGCTCCCAGCGGAGTCAGGGACCCTGGTCTCAGGGTGTTTTAGGTGGACAGGAAGAGAGAGAGGGGACGGGGCCTCCGTACCTCCTGGAGGTTCTGGTAGTGGGGGCTGGCGTTCTGGAGCGCTGAGCGGAACATCTGAGCCACCGTGTGGTACAGGAACCGGTACTGCTCCTGTTGGGATGAGGGGTCATCAGGAAGCAAGGACAGGGCAGAGGCTGGAAGCGTCGGCCTATGTCCCTGGGAAGGGACACCGCGGCTCGCACCTCTGTCTGCACGATTGAGGGTCGCTGCTTCCGCATCTCCAGGACCACTTTGAAGAGGCTGAAGTTAGGTGGGATCATCTGGGGCGAAGAGACGGGCAGGTGAGCGGCCCTGTGGGTATGGGAAGCACACTGCCTATGCTCGGGTTGCTCGGGTTGCCTTCGTACCTGGGTCAGCAGCAGCTGCCTTACGTAATCCACCGTGCACAGAACGCCGGTCCGCCCGCAGCCCGCGCTGACAAGGGAGAGGCAGAGCCCTGGTCAGGGCCTGCCCACGACGCCTTTTTAGGGGCACTTGGGAAGTTGGTGTCAGGGGGGTCCAGAAAGAAAGTGGGTCCTGTTTCCCAGGGCTCCATGATAGGGACTGCAGGCCACAGAATTTAAAGCGCCCAGTGCAACATGGAACTGTGGGGCCCCTTGCTTAAAAAGTATTAAGATTTAACCGATGGCAACGACAGAGGAGTGAGTCAAGTTCAGGGCCCTACTGAAGGCGGGGCTCTGTGCACCTGCACAGGACTCGCATCCTTTTTTTTTCTTTCTTTCTTTCTTTTTTTTTTGAGAGACAGAGCCTCAAGCTGTCCCCCTGGGTAGAGTGCCGTGGCACCACAGCTCACAGCAACCTCCAATTCCTGGGCTCAAGCGAGTCTCTTGCCTCCGCCTCCCAAGTAGCTGGGACCACAGGCGCCCGCCACAACGCCCGGCTATCTTTTGGTTGCAGCCGTCTCATTGTTGTTTGACGGGTCCGGGCTGGGGATTCGAACCCGCCACCTTAGGTGTACATGGCTGGCGCCCCAGCCGGCTGAGCCATGGACTCACATCCTTGAAGCCCACCCTGGAGTTGCAAAAGCGGGCCTTGGGTGTGACTAAGCAGCAGAAAGAAACAACAAGCTTGACCAGGAATTTCTCCCTTTACAAAAGGAAGAATGATAAGAGATCGGAATAAAGAGAAAGACAGGTAACAAAATAAATAAATGGGGCAGTCGCAGTTAGGGGTGAGCTCCGTAGTGGGGGCCACCATGCAGGACTTTTAATTCCCAGAGTCACCAGATTATAACTGAAACAGGAACACTTCTTAATGAACATAGGCTGAGCAACAGCTGTGCTGCGCACTTGCTCCCTAGCTGAGTCTGTGCTCAACAAATTCTGACAGTTTCGGTCTCGTGAGCAAGTATGGCGGGTTTCTCTGACTACAAGACTGGCCCTGGGTTCTGTACTCCCCCCTGGGCCTCCCTCTGCCTCACCAGACCCTTAGGAAGGCCATTCCCTAAACCTGCAATGGACACAGAGTGGTCCAGGGCCAGATCTCTGGAGGCGATGGGCTTCCTCTACCATGGCCAGTATGTGGTCAGCACTGCTGGGGACCCCGCGGTCTGGCCAGGACATATATTGCAACTGGTGCACAGAACGGGATTCCTGAAAACAGAAAAAGAGGAAGGAAGCATAAGAAAGAAAAGCATCCATTGAGCACTTACTGCAGCCAGGCCCAGAGCTAAGCATCTTCCATGTAAGTCCATCTGATAATAACAGAGGAGGTGAGTGCTTCTGTGAATGTCCACTTCACAGAGAGAGAAGCAGGCAGAAGTCATCCCCACGCAGGAGCCCCCTTCACTGCCTCCATTCCTGTCAGTACCTTCTGGAATGTGACCTGGAGGGTCCTGAGTATCATGTCTTCATTCAGCCACTGCTCCTCTGTCTGCAGATGAGTGGGGGGCAAGTGGGAAGGAGGAGGAGAACAAAGATCACAGTGCCAAAAGACACGTTTGTAGAAAGGAAAGCATTATTAAAAGTCAAATATTTTTAAAAATTCATTTAACTCAAACATCCCCCAAAGGTGTTCAGGAAGGAAACATTTGAGGGAAGAAAGAGGAACTGTTATAAAAATCCAAAACATGCCCATTTACAGCAAAAATGAAAATTCTAAAAAGTTTTGTTGTATTTATTAATCACTAACTGTATGTATGCCTAGAGAGTTCTTTAGAAATGGTAAGAGAAGTAAGGATTTCAAGAAACCTGGCACACATGTATGACAGATAATAGTGACACTTTACAGAGATTACTTGTAGGCTAACAACAGGTAGTTCCCCGGAGTATGAGGGGACTGTGGGCATCCTTTTATGGCCAGCCCAGAGACTCTCCACCCTGGTAATCTTCCTTCAAACCACTCACAACATCCAAGACCCAAAGAACCCTGATCCCATCTTTGCCCCAGCTCACCAAGGAGATGCAGAAAAGTCCGATGTGCAGTGGCTCCTGCTCCTGGGCCCAGTACCGTTCACACCTTTTCTGCAAAAGGTATGAGCAGGCAGTGAGGGAGAGGAGTCAGTGTCAGCATTTCAGCAAAAGGTAGTCCCATTCCCAAGACAACTCTGGTGTGCTGGTGGGTGCACACAGGCAGCTCCAGCTGTAACAGGCCAGCCAGCAGAGCCATCTGACTGACACACACAGGTTCAGTGGAGGTGAGCTGCTAGCATGCGGGCAGAAGACAATTCAGAACACCCTCCCACTGTAAGCACCTAAAAAAGTGACAAAATTCATGAGCCATTATTTTTGGACATTGAGTGACAGGCATTGCCAGACTTTGGTCACTGGAGAAACCACTGCAGCTTACTGCCTGGCAGTGTTGCCAGACTATAGGACCTAAGGAATCCAGTGAATCCTAATGAGCTCAGGAGCCAGAGATCATGGCTTAGGGAGGCCAGGGCAGGAGTCCTGGAAGGAACGGAGCTATACAAACAAAAGCAAAACCAAACCAAACCCATGAAAAACAGACAAAACCCCCCCAAACAAAACAAGGCCCCCCAAGCCACAACTCCTTCCTCCTCCTCCCCCCCAAAACGCTCCTTAACTCTGCATAGGGATCTACCCCCTTCCCTGGGGCTTTGGCCAAATAATAATCTGCATGCATATAGGATAAAACTCTATGAGGCCATATAAGAGTAACTTCCCAAGAAAGAATAATGCCAGAGATCTGCAGGATTAACATTTCCTAGAGCTCACAATGAGACAGGTTTACATACTCTCTAAGGTATATAGAGTGGAGATGCCTCATTGATTGTAAGGGGTATTCAGTAGGGAACCCAGAATAAGTACATTAGAAGTAGAGCTAAGTTAATCTTAGCATAAAGGGTACTCTAGATCTCACCTAACAGAGCTTATACTCAAAACGATCAGACATACAAAAGTAACTAATCTGCCTTCCTGAGAAAGAAAAAATGCTTTAAAGTAAGACAACAGAATCCAACACTTGCCTATTTAAAATTTAAAATCTCAGACATCCAATAAAATTTTATTAGACATCTGAGGAAGCAGGAAAATGTGACCCATACCTAGGAGAAAATTCATCTGATAGAAAAGGCCTAGAAATGACAGCGATGAGGAAAGAAGCAAAGACCTCAAAATAGCTATTATAAATACCAGTATACTCGATGATGAAAACATGAACATGATCAAGAATAAAACAAAAAATGCAAAGAAAACCTAAATGAAATTTCTAAAGAGGAAAAATAAAATATATGAAATGAAAAACTTACTGTTTAATAGCAGATTAGACGCCAGAAGAAAAGATCAGTACACATGAAAACAGCAACATAAACCATTCAAAATAAAAAAACAAAACAAAAAAACCCAGAGAACCACTTCTCTGTGGAACTATATACCAAGTGGTCTCACATAGTGTACCTGAAATCCAAAACGAGAGGAGAGAGGGAGAACAGAAACTATATGTGAGGAAATGATACCTGAAAAATTTCCAAATTTGATGAAGCTATGAACACAGAGATCCAAGAAAGTCAATGAGTCAGGGGGAAAATAAGCATAAAGTCATACTAAGACACAGTGATCAAATTACTGGAAAACACTGACAAAAAATCTTAAAAGCATCATGCACAGAAAAAAGACAGACTGAGGAACAAAGACAGCAAAATTTCATCAGAAACTGTAAGCCGATGGTGTGACGTCCTAAAAATGCTGAAATTAAAACAGAAAACCTTTTCAGACAAAATTTGAGAGAATTCACTACAAGTAAATGTGTACTATGAGAAATATGTAAGTGAACTTTTCATGTAAGGGGAACATGATACCAAGTCAAAATACAGATCTAGAGGCCAGGCACAGTGGCTCATGCCGTAATCCCCACACTCTGGGATGCTGAGGCAGGTGGATTGCTTGAGCTCAAGAGTTCCAGACCTGAGTGAGAGCAAGACCCCTTCACTAAAACACACACACACACATAAGAAAAACTAGCTGAGTTTTTTGGCAAGTGCCTGTAGTTCCAGCCACTTGGGAGGCTGAGGCAGGAGGATCGCTTGAGCCCAAGAGTTTGAGGCTGCTGTGAGCTGTGACACCATAGGACTCTGTTCGGGGTGACAGAGTGAGACTATTTTTTTTTTAAAAAGTACAGATGTATGCAAAAATAATGCAGTCAAGAAAAAAGTTAATGGGTAGCTAAAGGTAAAAGATACTTCTCTCATTTCTATAATCTTTAAAAGATTAGTGAATTTTATCAAACAAGGAGGAATTAACACAAATCCTTCATAAACTCTTGCAAAAAACTGAAGAAGAGAGAATATTTCCCAACATATAGTATGAAGCCAGTATGACCCTAATATCAAGATTAGACAAAGATATCACTAAAGATTTCATAAGAAATGAAAATTACTAACCAATGTTTCATGAACATAGACACAAAAATTCTCAACAATATACTGGTAAAATATTATACAAATGACCAAGTGGGATTAATCCTAGGTATGCAAGGTTGGTTCAATATATGAAAATCTATGCCATATACTATATTAGTAAAATACAAAACAAAAACATGATCACCTGAATAGATGCAGGGGAAAAAATTGAGAAAACCCAACACTTTTTCATGATAAAGTTCATTAGGAAGTCAGTGCCCACAGTTATTATTGGGGCACCTTCTTCCTGGCATGTGCCAAAATTTCAGACTCTCAGAAGAAGAGCAGGTGTTTAGCACCAACTATATTGTTTGATAAACGTTTAAGTATTAGGCATAGTGAGCCACTCTAACTAGAAATCCAAGTTCCCACAGGCCAGACAGGAGCCAACCTTACAGGAAGACCTTTTTAAGCCTAAGCAATTTAATGCTCAATGCTAACTCTCTTCTACACATCAAGGAACTAACCCAGAATAGCCAAACTGTCTTGGAAAAAAAAAAAATGTGAAGGATTCATACTTCTGACTTTAAAACTTACTACAAAGGTATAATAAGCAAAACTGAGTTATACTGGCATAAGAACAGACATATTGATCATTTGGATAAAATTGAAAGTTCAGAAATAAACCCATTTGTTTATGGCCAATTAATTTTCAACAAAATTGCCAAGACCTTTCAGTGAGGAAAGTATAGTTTTTTTTCCACAAGTGGTACTGGAAAAACCGAATATCTATATGCAAAAGAATGAATTTTGATCCCTATGTCACATTACATAAAAACATTGACTCCAAATGAATCAGAGAGCTAAATATAGGAGATAAAACTACAAAATACTTAGAAGAAAACATAGGAGTATCTTTGTGACCCACCAGTGGACAATGACTAACATCAAAAGCATAAGGAAAACGATAGATTGGAATTTGACAAAATTTTAAAAGTTTGTGCTTCAAAGAACACTATCAATAAGCAAAATGATGTAGCTTGGGAGGCTGAGGCCATAGGATCACTGGAGCCCAGGAGTTTGATACCAGCTGGCACAACACAGTGAGACTCTGTCTCCAGAAAAAAATAAACAGCTGGGAGGGTGGCATGTTCCTGTAGTCCCAGCTACTTAAGAGGCTGAGCAGGAGAGTTGCTTGAGCCCAGGAATTTGAGGTTACACTGCACTCTAGCCTGGGTGATAGAGCAAGACTCTCTCTCTCTCTCTCTCTCTCTCTCTCTCTCTTTTGAAACAGAGTCTCACTATGTCGCCCTTGGTAGAGTGCTCACAGCAACCTCAAACTCTAGGGCTTAATTCTCTTGTCTCAGCCTCCCAAGTAGCCGGGACTACAAGCACCCGCCATAATGCCTGGCTATTTTTTTTGTTGTTGCAGTTGTCATTGTTGTTTAGCTGGCCCAGCCTGGGTTAGAACCCACCAGCCTTGGTGCATATGGCTGACACTAACCACTGTGCTACAAGAGACAAGCCAAGACCCCATCTCTTAAAAAAAAAAAAGTGGGCCAGTGCAGTAGCTCTTGCCTGTAATCCTAGGACTCTGAGAGGCCAAAATGGATGGATCCCTTGAGGCCAGGAGTTTGAGACCAGGGTGAGCAAGAAGGAGACCATGTCTCCACTAAAAATGGAAAAATTAGCTGGGCCCTGTGGCAGGCACCTGCAGTCCTAGCTACTGGGAAGGCTAAGGCAGGAGGATTGCTTGAACCCAGGAGTTTGAGGTTGCTGTGCACGTGGGCTGATACACAGCCCTCTACCCAGGGCAACAGAATGACATTATCTCAAAAAAAAAAAAAAAAAAAGTGAAATGGCAACCCATGGGATGGGAAAGACATTGTAAATCATGTACTGAAAAGGGACTTGTGTCTCGATAATAAAAAAGACAACCCAAAATAACTTATTTCTAAAATGGGCAAATAATCTGAATAGACATTTTCCGGGGTAGATATACAAATGGACATATAAGCACAATGAAAGCCAAAACCACAGTGAGATACCACTTCCCCCTTGTTAGAGTGAAGACATCACAGTGTAAGACATCACAGTGTAAAACATCACAGTGTTTTGGTTAATGACAGACCCCATCTACACTGTTGGTTCCATTAGACTATAATGTACCATATGTCAAGTCTTCGTATATACAGAAACTTGATATATGGTACTTGTTAGCAGTGCAGCTCAAGTAGGGAAAATGATACTCAGTAATGGTGCTGGGACATTTGGTTTTTCATATGATAAAAATAGATAAAATACCATCTAGGTTTGTCTGTGTAAGCATACTGTATGATATTGGCACAATGACAAAATCGCCTAACAATGCATTTCTTAGAACCTGTCCCCACTGTTAAAGTGTGAATCTCTCTCTGTGTATATGTGTGTGTATACATACTTACATATGTGAAAACAACAAGCATTTATGAGCATGTGGAGAAGTTGGAACCCCTTGCACTTTGCTGATGGGAATACAAAATGGTGAAGCCACTGTGGGAAACATGAAAATGAAACATAGAATTGCCATATGAACCAGCACATTCTACCCTAGGTATATACCAAAAAAATGAAAACAGGGACTCAAACAGATACTTGTATACCAATGTTCATAGCAATGTTATTCACAATAGCCGCAAGATAGAAACAACACAGATGTCCTTCAGCAGATTAATAGGTAAACAAAATGTGACATATACATACGATGGAATATTATTTGGCCTTTAAAAGAATGAAATTCTGATACATACTGCAACGTGGATGAACCTTAAAGACATTTTGCTACGTGAGATAAGCCAGAGATAACAGGACAAGTATGGGCTGAGATGGTGCCCGTAAGCCCAGCACTCTGGAAGGCTGAGGTGGAAGGATCACTTGACCTCAGGAGTTTGAGACCAACCTGAACAAAAATGAGACCCCCCATCTCTACAAAAAATAGAAAACTTAGCCAGGCATCATGGCAGGTGTCTGTAGTCCCATGTACTAGTCAGGCTGAGGCGGCAGGAGGACCATATGAACCCAAGAGTTTGAGGTTGTGGGAGCTAGGCTGACACCCATGCACTCTACCCTAGCCAACAAAGAGAGGAAATGAGACTCTGTATTAAAAAAAAAAGACAAGTATTGTATGATTCCACTTATATGAAGTAGCAAGAACAGGTAAATTAACAGAGATAGAAAGTAAAACAGAGGCTACGGGGAGGTAGGGAAGGGGAAATGGGGAGTTGTTGTTTAATGAGCACAGAGTTTCCATTTCAGGCTATGAACAGGTGCTGGAAAAAGAGAGTCGCAGTGGTTGTACACCATATATGTAATGTCACTAAGTTTTTCCTTGAAATGGTTAAAACAGTAAATTATATGTTATGTACATTTTTCTATGATTTAAAAAGAGACACAAATAGATACCACTTCCTAGTCCTTTGGGTGGCTATAATTAAAAAAGACAGACCATAACAAATGTTGGTGAGGTTGTAAAGAAACTGGAACCCTTGTACATTGCTGGTAGAAATGTAAAATGAGGGAGCCACTGATTAGGGATTTCCCAGGACTGTAAAGGTTGGTGGGAAATGGTAAGTTACTGTTAATAATAATGATAATAATACAGGGTTTCCTTATGGGGTGATGAAAATGTTCTAAAATGTATTTTAGTGATAGCATAACTCAGGAATATACTAAAAAACAATTGAATTGGACACTTTAAATGGGTGAATTCTATCTCAGTAAAGCAGCTTAAAAAGATAATCTAAAGCAAAAATAATAGCAGTATATTATGGAGGATATGTCATATTTAGAATTAAAATATATAGCAACAGTAACACAAAGCATGGACAGGGGAAATTGAAATATAGTATTGTAAAGTTCTCACATTTATGTGAGATGTATAATATTATCTGAATATAGACTATGATAAGTTGAAGATATATATTGGAAACCCTAAAACCACCACTAAATGTTTAAAATAAAGTAGTATAGCTAAAAAGGGAATAATGACTAGGAAACAGACTCATGAAAAATCCCTAATCTGAAAGAAGACAAAAAAAAGAAGAAAAGGACAGACAGAACAAATAGTAAGGTGGTAGATTTAAACCCAATATTCTTGATAATTACATTTGAGTAGTGATTTTTAACCAGTGTGCTGTGGTAGACCAGTGTGCTGTAAGAGAATCTTAGGTGTGCCTAAAAAAATTTTAAGGATCATTTATTAAATTGTTTTCAAAAGAAGTTCAAAGCATAATAAGTATATTCTTTATTTCCTCTTTTTTTTTGATCAACATAATTCGAGAATGCTGAATGATCAACATAATTCAAGTATGCTACAGGTTCAAGTGTGCCATGAGATTAAAAAAAAAAATTGAAAAACTGCATTAGAGGCTAAATATACCAATTAAAGGAGGAGATTATTATATAGATTTAAAAAAAGAATACAAAAAAACCCACTTAAAAATAAAGGTGAACATAGATATAAAATAAAAGAATGGGAAAAGACACATTGTCCAAACTAAAGAAATTTAAATGGCCACATTAATATCAAAGTAATTTAGAAAAAGGAATAGTAACACAAATAAAGAGAGCAGCTAGGTGCAGTGGCTCACACCTGTAATCCTAGCACTATGGGAAGCCTAGGCAAGTGGATTGCTTGAGCTCAGGAGTTTAAAACCAGCCTTTACTAGTAGAGCCTGTCTCTACTAAAAAAAAAAAAGAAAGAAAAGAAAAGAAAAGAAAAATAGAAAAAAGAAAAACTAGCCAGGCATTATGGCAGATGCTTGTAATGCCAACTACTTGGGAGGCTGATGTAAGATGACAACTTAAGCTCAGGAGAGTGTGAGGTTGCTGGGAGCTATGATGCCATGGTGCTCTACCCAGGGTGACAGGAAATTTTATCTCAAAAGAAAAAAAGAAAGAAGAAGAGGGACATTATATATTGATAAAGGAATGCAATCATCAGGAAGACATAATCCCAAATGTATATGCACTGAATTATGAGTTTAAAGATACATGAAGCAAAACCTGACAGAATTTAAAGGAAAAATAGATGAACCTATGACTAGAGTTGGATATTTTAACATTACTCTTTCAGAAAATAATAGAGCAAGTAGACAAAAAAACATAGAGTTGAAGAACACTGTTGACAAACTTAATTGATATTTATTGAACAGTTGGAGATTTCAACGCTGCTCTCTCAGCAATTCATAGAGCATTATGAGAAAATAAATTTGCATAATAAAATACAAATTAAAAAATACATAGTAAAGACACAAAGTTTCTTTCAAAAAAAAAATCTATCAGCTTAATAGTTATAACTGGTAATTGGAGAACACTCTATCCAACAAAAGCGGAATGCACATTCTTTTCAAGTACACACAGAATATTTACCAAGATAGATCATATTCATGGTCATAAAACACATTTCAGTACATTTAAAAGGGCTGAAATGTTTTACCACAATGGAATTAACTAGAAATTCATAACCAAAGATATATGGAAAAGTCCCTAAATATTTGGAAACTAAACACCCATGGTCAAATACCATGGATCAAAGGAGAAATCACTAAGGAAATTAAAAGACTATTGTGAACTAACCGGCAAAGAAGACACCTCGAGTTTGTGTGATGCAGCTTATACAAAATACGTAACATTAAATGCTCAGAGATGAAGAAAGAAAAACTTCAAATCAGTGATCTAGGTCTGCCTTCAGAAACTAGAAAACGAAAAGCAAATTAAAAAAAAGTATAAGTAAGAAATTAATAAAGATAAGTATTGAACTAGAAAATGAAAAAAAAACCTCAAAGCTTGTTCTTTGACAAATAATAAAATGATAAACTTCTATCCCAGGAATTGGCTAACATGTTCGATAAATGGTCAGATAATAAATATTTTAGAATTTGAGGGCCATATGATCTACTCTCAATTACTCAACTCCACCACTGCAGCATGAAAACAGGCACAGACAATACATAAATAGTGTGGCTGTGTTCCACCACATTTTGTTTACAAAAACAGGCATCAAGATGGATTTAGTACAACAGCTGTAATTAACCTTTTGTTACTCTAGCCGTACTGAGGTGGAGGCAGAAAGAGGAAGAGAGAACACAAATTACAAAAATCAGAAATAACAAAAGGGACATCACCACAGGTCATACAGACTCCATGATCAACTGTTCTACCTCCCACCACCCATCCCATCCTTAGAGCAGGCATAGGGTGACCAGATTTTAACATTGGTAAGGCGGGACAACATGGTGGGGGGCAGGGCAGGGCCTAACAACAATGCAAACTTTGATAAGCAGTTCTCGATAATCATTTCTCAACAATTATTTGTTATTATTACAGTTGAACATTATAAAATTAACAAAAATAATATAAAACTCATGTTCTGGCGAAATAGCCACATGGCAGCCAAAAACCATATATTCCCTTCTTGTTCTCCCGCCCGTTAGTGCATTCTTTCCAAAAATCGGGACTTTTTTAAACGCTGCGGGACGAGGGACAAATTGTTCAAAAGTGGGACTGTCCCGCCAAAAGCAGGAGGTCTGGTCACCCTGAGCAGGCAAGAATGCAGAAACCACCATAAAGTGGGGCCTTCAATTCTGACAAGCATTTATTGAGTAATTCATGCTAACAAGCAAAACAGATTCCCAACCTTGTGGAGCTTACCTCCTAATCAGGCAGATAGAGAAGAAATAATGTACATAATACATTGTGAATTATCTAGTGTATTAGAAGTTTGCAAGAACTGTGAAGAAAAAAGGAAGAAATAAGACAAAGAAAGGAGAATGGAAGTGCTGGGAGTTTTAAATGGTGTGAGGATCCAGAAAGGTCGCACGGAAGAAGTAACATTCAAGCACAAAGACTTGAAGAAGGTGACCGAGTAAACCAGGGGGAAGGATGTCCCAGGCAAAGAGAAAAGGCACAGGCTTTGAGGCAAAGCCACCCCGAGACATCTGAGGAATAGCCGAGGTCAGAGTTGTTGAGAATGGGGTGAATTGACGGCAGACAGGTGGAAATAGAGACCAGAGCTGTACAGAGAACCCAGTCAGTATAGGACCTCCTGGTCCATGTGGGAAATGGGTGGGAACCCCAACAGGAGAGGGGTTGCCAATGCTGGGGAGATAGGCCCCATGAATAAAAGGAAAAAAATCAACAAAAAACTTTACAAGAGAACAGTGGGGCTTCCCACAGAGCCACAGGTCACTCCAAGAACTGTGCCCAGGGCTCTGGGGTCGGGGGAGATAGCAAGATTCCTCCTCCCTCTTCCCTGAGGAATTTGCATTCTGGGGGAGCTGAGGACACCTACCCGCCCATTTTCTGTCTCTCGACAGGCCATCAGGATCACCTAGACAAGAGGGGGAGGGGAGAGGGAGGTGATTTGGCTTAGGGGGCAGGGTTGAGGAAACCTTCAGAATATTGACCCCAGCCCATCCTCCTCCAAAGCTGACCTTGACCCCAAACTCCCAGACAAGTCGCCAGAAGTCTAGCAGGGTGTGAGGCAGGGGTCCTTGGGTGGCGATGTAGGCCTGGCTTCCATCTGCGCCCTGGTAAAAGCTGAGTTCACTACTGAGATTCTGCTGCCCACCCCTACCAATCCCAGTCTGATCCTTCCCTGACCCCCAAGCCTGACCCGAATGAAGTTGCCATTGATGTAGTCACCGTGTCCCTCCTGGAGCAGGGAGAGGATCACTCGTGTCTGATCGTCTGCCAGTGGGTGAGGTGAGAGTTGTGGAGTGAGTCATGCAGTTTGTGGGTGACAGGGTTATTCAAGCCCTGACAGACCCCTGATGAGCCAGCAGGGGAACCTCGCACAGAGGCGCCCTCGTGGACTGCTGGGAGGACTGTGACCACAGCCAGTCTCCTGGAGGGGGTGCAGCACCCACTCCCCACAAAGCCCCCAAACTCACATGGTAGCACATCTTTATAGCGGTTTTTCTTTGTGTTCCCAGGCCGGCTGCCAGCCTCGGTGGAGCGCACGCCATCAGCCTTCCAGGCGGCTGAGCGGGCCTGGATGTCCTGGGAGAGGCCCCGAGCAGACCCCGGGAAAAGAGAGGAAGAGAGGAGGCTGTCAGAGTCCAGCACCCCAGGCATTCAGATGATGCGAGGCGAGTGGGGAAGCCGCCGCACAGGGCCTGCCTATTAAGCATGGTACCGTAATAGCAGCGACCCAGAGTGCCTTCTCCGTGCCAAGCACTGTGGTAAGGGCATTAAGCATAGCAAGGACCTTATGAAGGGGGGTACTATTATTGACGGTCCCCACTGTGTACGTCAGAAGGTCGATGCACCACGTGGTAGAGACTTGCTGAAGGTAACAAGATACTATAGGTCCTTCATTAATCTTGGATGATTACAATTAGCGAAGAGTGTAGCGCCATCACATCGGGTATTCCTAATCACAATGGTAAGTATCACCGCTTGCGTCCACACTGCGTGTGAGCCACCACTCCAAGTGCTTTACTTATGCCCATGGGTCATTTAGTTCTCATGGACCCCCTAGTGTGGTGGTGATAAGGGTATTTCTCTCAGCTATTCCCCCAGCGCAGGACGCAGGTCTGGGTGGGGCACCCTCACCACACTGCCTACTGCATATGGCACGATGTCATACATCACGTCATTACACGTTCACGTTTATCACGTGCATTTTCATATTGCATAAATTATATACCTTATGCGTTTCCTATTTCTTACATATTACAATATTTCTATGTGTATAAATTATTTTATACTTGTGACAGTTTATATTTACTTACAAATTTATTGAGTAACGTTTTGTAAATTATAATATTGTATTTCTAGTAAACGGTTATAATATTTTGTGTAAATCGTCATTTGTAATCATTTTTGTTTATATGCTACATTTTCAAAATTTGAAATATGTTACCATATATTGCATTTACGTATTTGTCTAGTATGTTTCTAAATTTGGTACGTAAGTTATTTCAAACATTTCATTATCTGTAGTAAGCGTTCGCTTTCATTACGCTGCGCTTGCACTACCTCTACGGAAACGTTTAGGATTTTTATAAGCAGCGACAAGGGCACTTACGAAGTGAGGGCCCAAGGTGTGCTAAGTGCTTTTACCCACTCCATTTAATCCTCTAGCCAGTTTGGTCATTAACGTCCCCATTTCACCAAAGAAAAACCCGAAGCTAGAAAGGCCAGGCATGGATTCTGCAAGAGAGCCAGGAAAGGCCCGGAGGCTCATTTCAGCTGGGCGTCCACACGCTCACACCGCCACGGCCTCTGGGTTCCTCTTCCCCTGCACCAGGTGGCAGCTAGGTCCCCGAGGCTGCCCTGCCGCGCCTGCTTTGTCCGCCCGGCGGCGGGGTTGTTCCTGGCACTCGGGGGTGTGAACGGTCCTCCCAGGTCCGACGGATTCAGCCCTCGGGGACCCTGGGGCAGAGGGTGGCGACAAGAGAAAGCGCGCGAGAGACAGGTGCTGGGAAGAGAAAAACCCACAGGCCCCCAGGCGGCAAGACCCTCCCGGGACATCAAGAGCGACAGAGCCAGAGCTTCCAGGGCGCACAGGACGGACGTCGGGACAATCCAGGGCGAGGAGCCGCAGCGCGCCGCACGGCTGTCCACCCTCGCCCACTCACGCTGAACTCGCCGGCGAGGACCGCCCCCTCCCGGCCGCCCAGCTCCTCCAGCTGCTCCAGGAAACTCCGCGCTGCGTCCAAGCTGCGGCTCATGGCGCCGCTGGCCGGCCAGGTCCCCTGCAGCCGCAGTTCACCATTCCGAGCTAGGATGGACACTGCGGACGCAGCTGCCGGGCGAGGTGGCTTTGCTCCGTCTCGGCAGCCAATGGAAGCGCGCAGCGGCCGGCAGGGCACGCCTATCGGCCAATGGCATCCCGAGCCCGCCCGCCTCCAGGAGCTCTGGCCACGGCGGCTGCGGGAGCCCTAGTGTACAGTTCTCTGGCTTTTTTTTTTTTTTGAGACAGAATCTCACTATGTCGCCCTCGGTAGAGTGCTGTGGCGTCGCAGCTCACAGCAATCTCAAACTCTTGGACTTTAGCAATTCTCTTGCCTCAGCCTCCCAAGTAGCTGGGACTACAGGCGCCCACCACAACGCCTGGCTATTTTTTGGTTGTAGTTGTCATTTCTGTTTGGTGGGCCCGGGCTGGATTCGAACCTGCCAGCTCCAGAGTATGTGGCTGGTGCCCTAACCGCTGGACAGGCGCCGAGCCTCCGGTTTCTTTTGTGATAGACAAAAGAATTTGAAGATTCCCCCCAGCTACATTGTTAATAACCTCCTACTGGGTAAGCTGGCTGGCTGGCTTATCCACAAGCCTGGCAGAAAGAGGCGCCCCTCAGCGCCTGGGACCTCACCCTCTTGGGACAGATTTGCTGCCACCTCCACTAACTCTCCCACTCCCACAAACCCCTGCTCTTTGTGCGGGCTGGGTTTCTGCCCTTGGGAGCTACCCTGTAATTCTGCTTCAAAGAATTCTTAAGGGGAAAACCTTAAAGAGAGGAAAACGCCCTTTCCTCATCTTTTTTTAAAAAAGGACGACCTTAAAATGTGCATACCAACTTTCCCCCCACGTTGGCTTCACCTATTCCAGGCAGAGCCTGGGTATCTGCATTGTCCGAGAAGCCCCTACCCGCTAGTATGCGCCCTTGGAGGAAATAAACTCAGACAAGTCCTCTGACAGTGGCAGTGGTGCAGCGACGCGCAGACCAGGTTAGGCCCCCGTGTCCTCCTGCGGTTTGCTACGCCCCCTTTTAGCGCAGACCCACTCTGGCCCTTTCTCTGCATGGGTGCTTTATTTAGAAAACACCAATAGTCGCATTATTTTCAGCTGATACTGGCTCCTGCACAGTGGGTGGCCCTCTGTGGTCCCGGAGTGCAGAGCCCAGGGAGACTTGGCTGAGTGTGGTCTCCATGACAACCAAGGGAGGTGGGGGTCCAATTGTCCCTGAATTGTAACACCACAGAGAATAAGTGTGCATCCAAGGGGAGGTGAAAACATGTCTGGAAGTTTTCCTGCAGTGATGAGGTTCCCTACCTCCTGCTGCTGATGGGGCTGTTCTGGAGTCCTAGTCAAGGCAATGTGGCAAGGAAAGAGGAAGGGGAGGTCTGAGAAACGCCAGTTGGCATATGCCATAAACAGCTAGAAAGTTCTAGAAAATCTTATGAGATATAAGAACTTAAAAGTGTAATAATGTAGCTAGTTAAAATATACAATATACTTACACATCATTTTCCTATAAATGAGCAGTAATGAATTTGAAACTATAATGCAAACAAGAATTCGTATTAATTTCTTGAGAAATAGGCACCAAGTTTTAACCCATAGTGAATTAATGGAGCTAAGCAATACCACTGCCTTCTAACATCACAAAAGGACACACAGACATTGTGAGTCTCCTGATGAAAGGACACACCACCCCCACCAAGAATTACCGCTAAGAAAACTGAGCCTGTACCTGACTGAGCTTCTAGGTCTATTATTAATTCAGACGAAACCCAGTGAATATGAAAATGTGAAATGACACCACAAATGATAAGATCAGCAACATTCATGCTGTGAGAAACTCTAGTAAAAGAAATAGATCAGTTTTCTGAGAAAAAAGCCAAACAGAAAAGGAGACACTATATGACTCCATCTGTATGAAATGTCCAGAATCGGCCAGTCTGAGAACAAGAGTAGATTAGCAGTTGCCAGGGGATGGGTGTCTGGTTGGACAAGGTTGAGGAATGACAGCTAACAGGTATGGGGTTTCTTCCCGGGGGACAAAAATGTTCTGAAATAAGATTGTGACAATGGTTGCACAATCCTGTGAATATGACTAAAACAAAATACTGAACTATACAGTTCAGGTGCTTCAGCATGTGGCACTTTATTTAGAAAATACCAATAGTTGCATTATTTTCATAATTGACCTAATTTTACAATTCACATACCAAGTGAGTTGTGTGGTATGTGAACAGCTTAATAAAAACTTAAAAAAAAAAAAAAACTTGAAGAGACTTGTCAACTATTTGCAATGCATGGACCTAACATGGACCTTAGTTCCAACACACATACTGTAATAAAGGAAAACGAACATGCACTGGCTGATGATAGAAAGGGGTATCTGTTGATAATTTTAGGTGTAATAATGGTTCTATTATTTTCATGGAGCCCTTATCTTTTAGAGACATACACAGAAATATTTAAGGATGAAACAAGGTGACGTCTCGGATCTGCTTCAAAGCAAACTGGCAGAGTGGACCTACGAGGTGGAGCCACAGAGGAGAGACTGGCCGGCCAACATCAGGCCAGCTCCGGGACTCACTGTTCCACCTTCTCTGCTCTGGTGTGTCTGAAATTCTCCACATTTAAAAGATTTTAAATAGTTAATATACATACATACATGAATAATTATTTCTATAGAGAAAGGAAGCAGACAAGTCACAGAAAACATACACACAAATGGCCATTAAATATTTGAAAAGATGCACAACTTCTGTCACAAGTAAAAAAATGCAAATTCAAAAACATTTGCACCCACAGCTTGGCAAAGGCTAAAACATGGACCTGGGGGTGGGGGCAGACGCTCACATATCATGATGGAGAGCTGTAGAAAACAGACATGACTTCTATTATCATTTTAAAGACATAATTTCACTTGTAGGGATTTATTCATCAGATGCACCTGCACAGCTCTGCACCGAGGTACACTCAGTAATGTTATTTCGCAGTATTATAGGAGTAAAAACAGGAAACCACTTTTCCATAAAGCCACAAGGAAGGAGACAGAACCACCTGTACGAGGACAGCCTGCGGGGTTGAAGGCATCCTAAGGTCATCATTAGAGGGAATGACAGGAAGGTCAAAATGATGTGCATGACATAAGCCCTTTCAGATCAAAAATATAAAAACTGTCAGTCAACATAAAAAAAAGTCAGTAGTGATCTTTGGAGAGTAGGCTTGGATTGTTTCGGGTGAAGGAAGGAAAAAGGTACTTTAATTCTCATTGTGCATACTTCTGTATTACATTTATACGTTAAAGAACAGAGGAAAAAACTCAAGTGTGCCCATAAACTCCAATAAAAACAACTGGCAGTGAACTCAGAAGGCAGCTTTCTGTAAGTAAATGAAATGTTTGTCCACAGTCCCAACATGAACTACCTCCTCCCTCCGATGGCCGGTACACAGTAAGGTGTCACCCTTCTGAGCTAACAGGGTTCATACACATGCACGAGGCCCACCCTACCTCTTGAGCACACTGGGAGCATCGCACAGATGGTGCTTCACACCATGCTTCTTTTTATTTAATATCTACAGAGCAGGAGAAAATATTTGCAAACCAAATACAGGGTGGCCATAAAGTTTGTGTGCAATTTTAAACTGCACACTACTTTAAAGTGTACACAAACTTTACGGCCACCCTATATTTCATAAAGGGTTAGTTACTATTTGTCTTAGTTCAGGCTACTATAACAAAATAGCATAGGCTTTAGTAATTTGTAAATAACCGAAAATACTGCTCACAGTTCGGGAGGCAAGAAGTCCAAGATCAAGATGCCAGCAGATTCAGTGTCTGGGAACCCAATTCCTTGTCCATAGATGGCACTTTCTCACATGGTGGAAAGACACAGGAGCTCTCTCAGGCCTCTTTTATTAGGGCACTAATTCCATTTAAGAGGGCAGAGTGCTCATGACCTAACCACCTCCCAAGGCTCCACCCCCTAATACCATCTTGGGAGCTAGGTCTCAACACATGAATTTGGGGAAGACACACTTAGATCATAGCAGTATCCAAAATATATACAAAACTCAAACAACCCAGCAGCAAAACCCAAACAACTTGATTTAAAAAATGGACAAAATAACAGAACAGACTTTTCTCCAAAGAAGACAATCACATGTAAATAGCCACCAGGGAAATGCAAATCAAAACTGCAATGAGGTATCACCTTACATTGTCTAAGAAATGTAGACAATTCTTATCATTGTGCATAATTCCGTGGGTTTTTTTTAAATATTAGCATGTATTATATGTTAAAGAATAGAGGACAAAATTCAAGTGTGCCCATGAACTCCCAATAAAAAAAAAAATGGGAGTGAACTCAGAAGGCAGCTCTCTGGTAAGTAAATGAAATGTTTGTCCATGTCTTAGGACATTTCTTACTAAAAAAACAAAAGATAAAAAATGTTTGCAAGGATGTGGAGACAAGAGAACCTGATACAGGTTGGGCATTTGTTCCCTCCAAATCTCATGTTGAAATGCGATCTCCTAGTGGGCGTTATGTGGGTCATGGGAGCAGATCCCTCATGAATGAATGGCATAGTGCATTCTGTTAAAAGAGCCTGGCACATTCTTCTCTTGTGTCCCCCATCACCTTCCAGGAGTTGAAGCTCCCTGAAGTCCTGACCATCATGCTTTTTACATACCCTGCAGAACTGTAAGCCAAACAAACCTCTTTATAAATCACCCAGTCTCAGACGTTCCATTTATAGCAATGCAAACAAACAGACTAAGAGAGATCCCTTGTGAACTAGTGGTGAGAATGGAAACTGATACAGCTTTTACAGCAAACAGTATGGTGGTTCCTTAAAAAATTAAAAACAGAACTACCATCTGATGTGGCAATTCCACTTCTGGGTATATAGCAGAAGGAAATGAAATCATTATCTCAAAGAGAAAACTGCACTCATATGTTCATTGCAGCATCATTCCCAAAAGCTGCAATGTAAAAACAACCAAACCTAAGTGTCAGTTGCTAGATAAATGGATAAGAGAATGTGGTACATACATTCTTACTCAAAACCCAGGCATGGTGGCTCACACCTATAATCCCAACACTTAAGGAGGCCAAGGTCAAAGGAGCACTTGAGGCCTGGGGTTTCAGGGCAGCCTGGGCAACAGTGAGATCTGTTTATTTGAATATTTTTAATAATTTGAAACAAAAATATGAAAGCTGCTTTACTAATAAGTGAAGGTATTTTTAATTATTCTCTCTTACATATTAGGAAAAGTTTCAAACACACACAAGGGTAGAAAGAATACTATTGGGTGTCCCAAAGGTTGCCAAACATACACACGTACATAGAGAAAAGGGGCAATTGTAGCTAAATATACATTTATTTACAAAATATTCATTACAAAATTTTATAAAATACAGTATCTACAAGTATTTCTCTACATGGTTATACACATGAAAACATAAAAAATGAGTTTAATGATTCCTATTTATGTGACCTTTGGGACACCCTGTAATAAACTCCCGACATGCATCACCTAAACCTGACAATCACATTTTGCTTCAGCCACTTTTTCTTTTATCTAATGAAGTACAAGGCTGATGTTTTACCCCCAAATACTTCAGCACCTGTCTCTGAAACATTAAGAACATTCTCTAGTGCAAACTCTAGTAAAGCCATAACATCACAATATTTAAGTTCTTCATTTTAAAACTTTAGTAACTTTTTTTTTTTGGTAGAGACAGAGTCTCACTTTATCACCCTCAGTAGAGTGCTGTGGCATCACACAGCTCACAGCAACCTTCAACTCCTGGGCTTAGGTGATTCTCCTGTCTCAGCCTCAGAGCAGCTGGGACCACAGGCGCCTGGCTTTTTTTTTGGCCAGGGCTGGGCTGAAACCCGCCACCCTTGGTATATGAAGCCGGCGCCCTACCCACTGAGCCACAGGTGCCGCCCAACTTCAGTAACTTTTTACAACATATTCTCCCCTTCTCTATGCGGATATATTGCAAGCCACCCAGTGAAGGCTAGAACTGTGGAGAGTGCCACACCCTGTATGTGCTGTTTTCCTTCATATGTGTACAAACCTACACTAAAATTTAATTTATAAATTAGGTACAGTTAGATTAACAATAATAAAATAGAACAAGCATCATAATATGCTGTAATCAGTTACATAAATGTGGTTTCTCCTCATTCCTTCTCTCAAAATATGGCAATGTCCTATACTCACCCTATTTCCTTCTGTGATCAATCCAGTGGCTACTAAGTGACAAATGGGTACACAGCATATATAGTGTGTGGACAGGCAAGACAAAAATACACTGCCCTGGCTGGGCATGGTGGCTCACGAATGTTCCTCCAACATTTTGGGAGGCTGAGGTGAGAGGATCACTTGAGGCCAGGAGGTGGAGACCAGCCTGGGCAACAGGGTGAGACTCTGTCTCTAAAAACAGAAGGAAAAAAAAAAAAAAACCTACCAAAGAGATGATTCACGTCCCATGTGGGACAGAGTAGCACAATTTAAAAGTTATCAATTGCTTATTTCTGGAATTTTCCATTTAACATTTATGAACTGTCGTTGACTTTGGTTAACAGAAACCATGGAAAATGATAACTCCTCCCATGGGGGGAGCTGCTGTATTCTGAAATAAATTCAGCTTTCTATCAAAGTTGCAAACACAGGGCAGAGATCTCCCACAAGCTCTTCCCTTGGCTTCCACACTTGTCAGTCTCCCTGAACACCGAGGAGCTGCAGGTACAGGGGCTGTCCACGAGCTCTGGGGTCATGTTCCCACTTCTGTCTCTACTTGGTCCTTCACACGTCTAAATTATCCAAGTACTCCCTGTTTTCTTAGCAGAAAGGTCAAAGGAAACACGCACAAACCCCTCTAGCACTCCTTGCCAGCCAGAGCTGCCCAGCCAGACATGTCCCTGGCTTCTCTCTCAATTTTGATGGCTGTTATTCCTGCCTCCTTTACAAACTCTCCTGAACAGACATCCAGGCTAAGCCACTGGTGGCCTGGAACCATTTCTGACCCTAGAACAGTTAACTCAAGAAAAACAACCACATTTTAAATGATAAAAAAAATCTGCCAAACTGACTTCCACCAGGGGTTCACCCTCAAGCTTGCCCTCCTTGCAGGACGAGGAGTCCCTGAACGTCACCCATGTTAAGTCTGCCCCACAGCACCCTGACGGCTCCACATACCCCATGAGCAGTTTCTAAATGTCCTTCACAAGGCCCCCTGCCCCTGGGCCCCAAGGAACCTGCATACCTTGGGTGATTTGAGGAGTTTGAGAATTTATACTTAGCTTTTTCAACTAAACTAATTTTAACTTCTTCAGCACAGTGGAGGCCCCGGTGAAGGGCATGATCAATGGTCTCTATTCACCTCTTGCTCATCTTGTCTGTCCTTGGCTGAGAGCTGGCCCTTCAGTACCAAACCTTGCTCTCAGACTTCTGCACTCAAGTTATTAAAAAGCAAAGCCCCACAGAGCACCTGCCCTGAGCCAGCAAAGACACAGGGCACCAGGAGTCAGCAGAGGCATCTGCAGGTGTGGTGTGGGAGGGGCTGGACGCCCTCAGCCACTGAGGGTGAGTCATGGGTTTAGGAAACACGAATGGTGATTCCCATCCCCTAAGATATGCCATCCACTTTGGGGGACTATGAATGTGACAGTTGAGAAAAAAGGTCTTTGCAGATAAAATTAAGCTCATCCCAGATTGCCCCCACAGACCCTAAGTCCAAGGACAGGAGTCCTTATAAGAAAGCAGATGTGATGCCTGGAAAAGGAAGCAGATGAAGGCAAAGCAGAGTCAGAAATGACACAGGACAGGCCAAGCCATGTCCAGGAGGGTAGCCACCATCAGAAGTCAGACAAGCGGGAAGGAGCTGGCACCCTGATCTGGGACTCCGGTCTCCAGGATTGGGAGAGAATCAATTTCTGTTGTTTAAGCACGCTCTCTGTGGTAATGTTATGACAGACACAAGAAATTACACTACTCTGCTTCTGGACGTGCCTTGAAAATTTCTGTAATTCACAAAAAGCCCTACTGGTACATTCTTTACGGGTGAAGTAAGGCGGCAGGCAAGTGGGAGGACCCCTGGGAGGCCCTGCAGAAGGAACTGGATTCACTGGAGTGTGGCCACAAGGCTCACAGAGGCCTCCAGGCCCTGTCCCTTGTCCTGCATAACTTGCCTCACAGAGCTCCTCCTACCTGGGGCAGTGGGGTCATTCCTTCTAGCCATTACTCCCCTCCCAGGAAACTCTGCAATGTCCTGACACAGTGTGTAAAACCAGGGTCACTGGGCACAGAGGGGAAGTGTGGAGACCCCAGCCTCTCTAGGCTTTTCTGGCCCTCCTGTGTGACCCTGGACAACCTCCTCGGGAGAGCAAAGGTAGGCATGGTGGGTGACCCTTAGCATCGCTGGGTCCCCAGTGAATCCAGGGTGTGCACCTGTTCACTTGGAGCAGGGAAGTAGTCCTACTGACCACCAGCTGGGGCCTGTTCCACTCACTCAGGCACCACCTGGTCCTGCACCTGCATCCCCAGCCAGAGTTCACAGGGCCCGACTCCTAAGAGGCACCAAGGTGCCTCTAGGGGGTGAGCCCAGTGAGTTAGGACATTCAACCCCACCTTGACACGACAGGAGACTGTTCCACGGCCATCAGGTCCCCACCCAAGGGTACCCGATGGGCTTGGTCCTTCAGGCTGAGCCTGACCACTCAGAAGCAGGCGGGTTGTGACAGAGATTTTATTCAGAGTCCTCCACGTGGGCATGACAGGCCTGTGTCCTGTGAGTCCCCGCTGTGTCCTCACTCAGTGCTCAGGAAGACCCGCTTGCGTGCGGTGTTGGTGTAGGGGTGCCAGCGCCACTCCACATCTGCCGTGGCCTCTTGCTCCAGCGTGCCCAGGCGAATCATGTACACTGGGGGCAGGATGGGTCATCAGCCCCTGCACAGTTCTCCCTCCCCCCCAGGACAGGGGACGGAGTCCCAAACTCACACTTCAGCTCAAAGCGTGGCCCGACCTCGGTCAGCTCCACATTTCGGTGGTCCGTCTTCCTGTAGACGTGGTGCCTGAGAGGAGCAGCTGTGGGTCAACAGAAAGCAAAAGGGGCACAAGGTAGGGATGCTCCCCTGGGGTAGGCCTCAGAGACCCACCGGAAAGAGATGTAGTCATCCTGGTTTGCAAACGTGATGACACGGTGGCTGTCATCTTTGGGTACCGGGAACAGGTAACGGAGGATGTCAGAAACCTGGGGGCAAGGAGGAAGCGAGCACCAATGCCTGGCTGGCCCGACCCCCAACCTGATCCCTCGCCCCAAGACCTGGCATCAGGACCCCAGACTCACCCGCTTGCCCAAGCGAGAGGAAAAGCCATGAGTGATGAGGTGGGGCTTGGCCTCAGACATGGTGCCCAGGTCTGGGATGTCGTGCCGCATGACCACGTTGCACAGAGTGAAGTAGGCCGTGGGGCCAAAGGGCAGGTGGCTGACAATGAGCCCCACTAGCAGGGCCAAGCAGGCTGTCAAGAGACCCTGTCTGCTCTCACACCACCCTCAGCCGGGCTCCTCCCCACCCACCAGCCTCACCAGGTGTGCCTCGATGTTCATGGACAACCAGCAGGTCAGTGACCCCATTAGCTTTACAGGCTCGCACCAGTGCTCCCACCTCATGCCGGCCTCGGTTCATGCGCTGGGCTCCTGGGAAGACCAGTTTCAGTTCCTGTGGATCACAGTGGCTAATCAGGACCAGGCCACTGTCTTGGGCATCCTGGACTCATTCCCCACCCACTAATACCTTTGCAAACATCTTGAGGCGGGAACTTGGGTCTCTGGACGTAGTGATCATGATCTTGGGATCCTCGACCCCTGCCCAACGATACTCGTCATCCACATGGCTGGTCACACCTGGGAAAGTATGAGGGGAAAATTGTGACGCTGTCTTGGGGGTGAGATGCTAACTTGGGGGCGGCCAAGGCCATCTTGAGGGCACTGTCTGATGAAGCCTTTGTGTGGCTTCGACCAAAGTCTTCTACTTTGTCTGGCTTTGACCAAAGTCTTCTACTTTATCTCAACCTAACTCACGTAATTAGTTATGTAAAGTCAGAGGCTAATGTGTCAGACAGCACAAGCCAGATTCTACTGAGGCCAAAGGTCACAGACCCATTTCCCTCACCATTTGGGATTCCTTTCTCACCACTGAATAATGCAATAAATGAAACACGGATGCCAACGTGCTGTGGACACTGTTCTGCCTTGGCAGACATTCCAGTGGGAGTGACAAGTGACAGAGAAAGCCAGGAGTAAGTAGGTGCTGTGTAAATGAGACAAGGCACACTCAAAGAGAGCCCCGTGGTGCTATCTGGAGAGATAAAAGTACAGTTCTAGAAGAAGCTGCTGGGGACACACTCAGGTGGGTAATTGGCTGCTGATCTGAGGAAGGACATGGAGCCCAGTGGGCTCAAGGCAGGAGGGCTTCTGGTACAGTTACCTTCGCCTCCGGCATCGTCAAACTCCAGAGACCCCTGTAAGGCCAGAGCCTCCCGGCGTAACTCAGTGGGAATCAGGCGGTTTTCTGCAGTGTGGAGACAGAAGGGCTGAGTGAGACAGAGCATGGAGCTGTCAACTTACACCAGGCATCCTCAAACTGCAGCCCGCCTAGGACATTGATCCAGCCCTCCGAGTGTTTTTGCCACCTCTGCCTGTCCAGCTTAGCAGCCGACTCGTCCCGGGGCCCGCAGTCCAGCCCTCCAACAGTCTAAGGGACAGTGAACTGACTCCTTGTTTAAAAACTTTGAGGACCCCTGACTTACACAATACTCTGTGCCTAAGGAGCCCATGTTGTACTTGATGGAAAATATCTTACTGCTTTCAGAGCAGAGAGGTGATATAAGATCACACACCAACTTGGGAACATGCTGAGGACTTTATTTCCTATGGTTCTTTAATTTTTTATTTTTTTTGTAGAGACAGAGTCTCACTTTATCGCCCTTGGTAGAGTGCCATGGAGTCACACAACTCAGAGCAACCTCCAACTCTTGGGCTTAGGCGATTCTCCTGCCTCAGCCTCCCAAGTAGCTGGG